TCGCTTATATCATTTTAGACAACCTTTGGTAACTAAAGTTATTTCTTAGGATCTTCCAATTGCATTAACGCATATTCATTGTTAGGGCAAGTTCCTTCAAGTTCTTTAGAAATCTATACAAGTTCCTCTTTCATCTACTGAACGCTTCTAAAACTTTGAGATCACCGATTTAATTCGGGTTGCCTATTTTCGCTACCTCTTGATTTATTTTCCATTTTTTTTATTCAATAGTCTTTTTTGCTTTGGGCCATTAAACTATTTTTACTTTTTGCTCTACTACTCAGGCCTTATTTTGATATTCTAGGATTAGATCACAACGGCTGTGCTGTGATAGCAGACTTTAATTTTCTTCTCTCCTAGTCCTCTGATACTTCTGTAAATGTGACTTTAGACGTCAACACTATCGTAAACATTTTTAGTTTGACTCCTTAAAGCATTTCATCGTTCTTTTAAACTTCCAATTACCTACTTGCCTTGTCTGGCACTAGCCGCCCCGATTTTCCAATCCCCATCTGATATCTGTCAACTTTAGTTTGCCTAACACATGGTCTGACTTCCTCGAGCCCGAAGCAGAACCGATTAGATCTGAGCAGCGCCAGGCCATAGGTATAATGCATTGTCTGGCTATGGCGATTGCAGTCTGCCGACGACGATATGGCGATCAGTCCGACCCAGAGGCCACTCTTGCTCTAACTACACTGCCGGTGCCGGTCGCTGTTTCAGCCGTCTGCACGGACGGTGTCCACTTCGACTTCATCCATTTCCAGCTTAACACCTTGGCCTTTCCAGATCAGTAAGACAATCTACCGCTTAAATTCTTTTTAATCTTAACTAAAACAACATGATTTAGACTAGTTTGGTAGCTTTATCCTTAAAATTTTAAATACAATTTCAGGTCTTGACTAAGTCCTTGTGAAATTTTTATTGGCCATTTTCTTCTCATTGGCATTTAGTACTTGTGCCTGCTTTAGCTACTAGTTTTTATTTAAATGTATATGTTGTTACTGCTGGAAGTGTAACTCTGACCTCAGAGTATTCATACAATTTTCGTCTTTTATTTTGTGGGTTTAGTTCAAGTCTTAATCCTAGTCATTAACTTATAAATATAACATGTTCCTAGAGCTGAATTAGTCAATTCTAAAAGGTAAAAATATTTTTTTTGCAACTCTATAAAAATCTTTCATTTGGATTTGGTCATGAAGTGAATATAATTGGCAGTTTTGCTATTTTGAATTCTTGATCTCAAATCAGAGCCTTTTTCATTGCATTTTAGCAGTAAACAGGCTGCTGACAATCTCTCCAATATTGCCTGGATTGATGGGGATCATCGATTGGTGGATAAAATCATTCCCAAACGCAGTATGCTCCGCAACACAATCTACCGAGACCTCAACATGGATGTATTTACTCGAATGCTAACAACTTATTATTGGAGTAGTCTGGGAAAGTTCTTCTATTCCAGGAAAGAAAATGTAGGAAAAGGTGAACATAGTCACTTTAGTTTAAACATTCAGGAGGCCAGCTAGAACGTAGACAATGACATCACGACCCAGTTGCATAAACGCAATTATAAATTTATATATTGCATATTATTGTCCAATGCTTGAAATGCCTTATGTATTGATTATTTGAGTCTTCCCTTTACATGTTGGAGGGTGCTAATTTTGTGAAGAAGAGTTGGGTTTCAAGGAATCTCTTGTTTCATAATTGTTGAGTTAATTCCATTTCGGCTAAAAATGTTGGATGAAGAGATTCGAAGGTCGGTTTCACCAGAAGACGATGGCGAATTCCTCTTGACCAGCTGTCGATTGGTTTTACTGGAAGATTCAAGCAGAAGCTGTTTTCGAGGTAATTTCCTTCGATTTCGGTGAAAATGGACTAAGCTTTCGTCCGTCATATGATGAACATCATCAAAGCAAGGTATCATCGTCACAACCAAATTCAAGCTAACTAGTCAAGAAAACTCATCGGTAAATCCCTAAAAAGCGGTATATATACTCTATATCTGGCCTCTTTGATAAGATATAAAGTTATTTGGTTAGTTACGGTCATATGTCAACCTCGAAGCCTGTTAGTGTATCTATCTCTGTATGTGTATGTGCTTGTTTGTGTTCGCGTATGCATGAAACCCGCAGTGATGGCTCAAAGTAATTAAGACAGCAAAAAGGAACGTCTGTTTTTGGCCATCAAGATTTGACGACTCCAATCTCCCTCTTTCTACATACATGTTATAACCATCACTCCGATTGCGCAAGATCGGACACTCGTCTGGTTTTGTTGAGCCTTTTTTACGTTTTTGGTCTCAATGCGAGAGCGAAAGAGTGAGGTA